AGAATAATTTTTATTCAATATAGATCACAACTATAATTATTATTGAAAGTCATTTAAACTTTACTGCTGGTTGGAAAAACAACCTCATTCTTGGGAAAAACCAGCAAGAAACCCAGCGGCACTTTTTTTAAAGTTAATTTTACATTAATGGTTGTACAAACTATTTACCAAATTTATTTTAGAAACTGCTGGGATGCAACCATACCATTCCCAGGGGTTATTATCAACCATGTATTCATTTTATTATAATAACCCTTATTATACAGTTTCAGCTTAACAAAACTTTTAAACTTGGCAATAGAGAGAGCCTGTACACTTTCCGGGACCTTGTTGTAATAGTGTATACATTGCCCCAAGAATGAATTACTGACTCGGTGGAGTAGATAAACTGATATAACTAGCTTGTGTTTATTCCTTTTAATTGTTAACAGAACTTATATTACTTTTTTACTAAAACTACCTTTGTATTTGTGAACATACATTAAATTTTCATAAATATACTGAGAAGCCAAAGTTAATATATTTTTTTTTTAAATATATCTATAAGAGACTCTCTCGGTTTTTGGTTGTAAGTAGCTCTAATAGCCCTCTTCTGTAAAACAAAAAAAGTTTCTAAATCAGCCGCATTTCCCCATAGCAAAATCCCATAAGACATTGTGCTATGGAAATAACTGAAATAAATTATCTAGCTGTCTCGACATTAGTGAGACCTCTAACCTTTTTACATCATAGGCTGCAGAACTTAGTCTGCTTGCTAGTTTGGATATATGGGAGCCCCACTGAAGCTTTGCGTCGAGAGTGTTTCACGAGTAGTGGCAATCGAAAATTTAATTCCAACTCTGACAATTTCAAATGTAGATCGCCGGACGGCCATTATGCAATTGACTGCACGCGAGTGCATAAAATTTTTAGATTTACTGCCAACGCAAGCTTTATAAATTTTGCCGGTCGTATATTTTAGTTAAATATATTTTTTGTTCAATAAAAATTGTTTTATGGAATATTGCGTACGAATTGTAGAATAATTTAGTATTTAATACTTTTATTTTTTCATATAAATTTATGAAATAATGAATTGATTTTAGTCGAAACGGTGTTTCAATCCCTTCGTACCTTAAACTAAATACTGAAACATATGTATATCACTATAAAACAAAGTTAAAATATAAAAGTATAATTAAGAGTAGGGGATTAAAATAATATATTAAAATAGTTTTTGATTTATGTTGAAGACTACCTATACCATGCAACTTCACCCGCGTGGAATATTTTTTTGCGCGGAACCCTAATTATTTTCCCGAAATAAAAGTATCCTAAATTACTCCTTATAACATCAGCTATCTATCAGTAGAAGTCCCATCCAAATCTTTTCAAAATTCACAGGATTTTGCGAAATGCGTGGTCGGACAGACGTCGTGTTAGAGTTTTATTATAGTATAGAAGAAGATAGAAGATAGATGTGAAGATAATTATTCCGACTTATTAGCAAACCGGAATAACTCTCTTGACATCCTTGATTAAGGGTATGATAAAACCCTTTGCCCTAAATCAACTACCAAAACATTTGCCTTAAATTTATTCAGCACACCATGTGTATTTTTTTTGTTCTTGACACATTCAACAAATGGGATAGTTAAATTTTAATATATAAATATAAATTTTAATTTAATTTTAAATTTTGATATATACATCACAATTCGATAGATTTTTTTTCACCCTTAACGCCAACTTAACAAAATATCTGTTGAGTTCGCAATTATTAAACCGAGGTAAGTGATGGGGCTCGCTTTTTATACTTTTATAAAGATGACTTTCGTTTAAGATTTTTTTTTAAATATATTTTCCAATTCTTGCAACGTACACTTTTAAACTTTGAGACATATTTAGTTGGAATTGGTATAAAATTAATGAGGTTACAGCCTACTGCGAAATAGTGAATAGATGAAACTTCTGGAATTAAAGACAGGTTATTGTTTTACTGTATATTATCATATTTATCACTTTTGCAAATGCTTGAAATATTACTTACGATTACAACAAAATAATAAAAACGTAGTAATTATAATATAAACTCTTTGAAAATGACGTCGCTAGACTTCTACTTGCTTGCATAGATTGATAATATCATACATAACGTATTATGAAATATATTAAGGAAATAAAACTAGCGACTCCATTGCATACCTCACTTGCTCACTTGCATTCAATAATTGTATACGGGCTGAAGTATTGTAATATAATCACTACGCATTACATACTGTTTTTATTATAATTGTAATAAAATTTTTGAAATTGAGTTGTTAATATTCTTTTAACTTTTGTCTATAGCATAGACTACACAAATAAAGTGTATCTTTACATAATTTAAAATTAAAAAATTTGTACAACCGACTTCAATATCTATTATTAAGGATAACTCAAAAACTATTGGTCACACCATGATCAAATTTATATGGGAGCACATGAGAAGCACCGCTTTCAAAAAAAAAATCATCGAAATCGATTTTAGTAAAACAAAGTTATGAGGTAACACACATAAAAAATAAAAACATACAGTTGAATTGAGTACCTCCTCCTTCTTCACGTCGGTGGAAAATTGAGTCTATATTGCTTTTATTTATAAACAGTTTACAAACTTATGCACTTATGTTTAAATGTGTATTTTGTGAAATATTTATACATTATTTACATGTTTATTTTGGTTAAGAAATGATATTTTACATTATTTACTTATTAAAATAATATACCTGTTGTTCAAAGCAGAAGGAAGTTAGCGTAGAATATTATTATATTAAATTTAAATGCATGCCAATTAATTGCTTCTTGAATGTTCCCTTAGAATCCGTATTTACTCGAAGTATATTGCTATTAATTAATTTATAATTAATTAAAAAAAATCAATTTTCGAATATTAAATTTTGCTATTAAACATAAAATATATACCTATTTATTAATTTAACCGTAACCCAATTAGTTGCTTCTTAAATACTCTCTTAGAATCCCTAATTGTCTCCCGTCTGTTATAATTACTTTATTTAAAATGATTTTCAAAAAATTAAATTTTCGAGAAATTTATACTGCTATAATACATAAAATACCTACTTTTTTAAATTTAAAGGTATTCCAATTAATTGCTTCTTAAATGCTCTCTCAAAATCTCTAATTGTTCTACGTCTATTAATGTTACTTAATTTATAATTAATAAAAAAACGAAAATTTAATTTTACTATTAAACACAAAATATTTTCTCTTTTAATTAAACTGTATGCCAATTAATAAATACTCTCTATACAACTCTTTAAATACTCTCTTAGGTTCCGTAATTGATCTACGTATATTAATATTAGTTAATTTATAATTAATGTTTAAAAATTCAATTTGCGAAAATGTATTTTTCGATTAAACACAAAATATCTACTTTTTAATTAAGCTGTATGCCATTTAATTGCTTTTCAAATGTTGTCTTACAATCCGTAATTTTTCCACGTATATTACTAATAGTTAATTTATAATTAATAAAAAAAAAACAATTTTCGAACATTTAATTTTACTAATAAACATAAAATATCTTCTTTTTTAATTAAACTGTATGCCAGTTAATTGCTTTTTAAGTGCTCTCTTAGAATTCATAATTGTTCCACGTCTATTACGATTACTTAATTTATAAATAATTTTGAGAAAGAGTGATCACATTTGAGTAATAGCGCCATCATCAATAGAATGTAGTGATATTCTATAGGTAAAGTCATTTTATCGAACAAGAATTGAATGACTCCTCTAAATGACATAAACAAAAAAATTATTTAGTAAATTTTAAAATTATGGATTGTTATGAATATAGATTGGACACACATGATAATTTTTTTGTATTAAAGCCATCTAGCGTATTTTCTATGTACCACCATGACACTTAATTAATTTTGGTTCGATAAAATGATGACTTATAGTATGAAAATGTACAAGGGAGGTAATTTAAAGCCCAATAAAGTAGAGCAGTGTTTATTTAAAACAAAATTTTTGAATTTTCATTTAAATAAGTTACTGTTGTAATAATATAAAACTTTAGATTAATTAAAATAAAATTACATATTTAGTAGATAATTTATAATTACCTAATTAACAGAATAAACTGATAAATTCTCTTCTTAAGATCAAAAAACATGATACACTGTGACAAATATTATGTATATAATTTTATGTAAATAAATGATATACACAATCTATGTTATCCAACATTTATTGATGAGTAATTGAAATGTTTACAAAAGTTTCACTTCTGCCATGTGTCCTCACGACACTCTTTTTTTATATTAATTATTATAAATATTGGAAAAATTATATTTTAGTTTTTTAATAAATAAAGCAAATTGCAACTAATAGTAATACATGCGGAACAATTATGGATTTTAACGGAGCATTTAAGGAGCAATTAATTGGCTTCATAGTTTAATTTAAAAAAGTTTACATTTTATGTTTTAAAGCAAAATAAAATTTACGAAAATTAAATTTTTTAGAAATTAATTATAAATTTATTAATTTCAACAGACGTGTAGCAATTACGAATTCTAAGAGAGCATTTAAGGAGCACTTTATTGGCATACAGTATAATTAAAAGAAATCTACCTATCTATCTAATTCTACGCTAACTTCTTTCCGGTATTGTTCAAAATACTTTTGCATAGCGAGAACTTTTATGGTTTTATAATATATAATATGGGTAATGAATAAACCAAAAGTCATATTACACTATTTTCTTCACCACAGGTCTATATTTTTTTCATAAAATTAAAGTTTGTCATAAAAAAAAGGAAAAATAAAAGCAATATGTTATTTATGGCAGTACCTCAGCTAAATTGGATTATACAAAATTTGACGTATGTAATCTACTTTCATAAAATTATTCACCGGTTAAAAATTAAATGATTATAAAAATTATGGTCACTTTATGCACAAATAAAAATATAAATAAATAAACAAATAAATAAAAAGACAATACGTACTATTGTCTATCCTGCGGAAGAGCTAAACTGTGTCTACCACACTACTTCCTCGCTTAAATTGCCTCAAACGAATATAAATGTCGCAGAGTATTGTGCGAAAATTTACTTTATTAAAACATCCTGAATTTTATATTTTTAAACCTATAGAGAATTATGAAATAAAAGGCCATAAACGGATTTATATGACTTAGTAAACGTTAAATTAAACTAATTTTAATATTAAAATATTAAATTTGCTGTCCATTTTAATTTTATTTCTTCTAATATTGTTTGATTGCCAGTGTTTCAAGCTGTACAGTCCGTTTATTGCCTTCTGGTAAACAAGTCATTTGGATAGTTTTTGAGCTGCTAAAAATCGATCGAGCCTAATGTGATTTCAGATCAATTTCTGGCCATATGACCCATAGCCTTAAAATATAACAACAGCCTTGGAATTCGAAGGAGCATGAAAAATAGATCTTTGTTTATTCTAAAATAGCGGAGTAGGAATGTAATATTTACTGAAGGAACCACTACTTTCTACGTGGCACAGCGCACTTTGGTAGTACAATGTACACTCCAGGTATCAGTAAAACCGGTCTTGTTAGCGCCACTCCAGAGACCTCAGAGCAATTGGCTGTATGTAAATATTGGGAACTTATTTCAATTGTAAACAATTAAAATTTTGGGTATCACCTTTCACCGTTTCAATTAATATCACGATAAGACTTACAATTGATGACCCGGTGTAACCCAACTTTAGGTTTTGGAGAAAAAGGGGAGTTCTCTCGTCAGGGAAAAGGTGTTTACACGAGGGGATTTTATTATGCCGTCATTTCAAAATACCGATAGTATGATTTAAGGCATGTGTTGTTATCCGTTGGCACTATTGTGGCACGATGACAGCGCCGCCACATATACTTACTGTAAAAGCATAATTTCAAGTGTTGACGATTGAGGTTAAACTTTACTACAGGTCCTTGCAGGTTTTTTTTTTTTAAAGATGGTCACTTAAAGTTTAATTAGTGCTTTTTTGTTAATAAATAAAATTATACGTGGGCATTTAGAAAGTTTTGCGAAAGAAAAATAATTCCAAGGTTTAAGTTATTATAATTAAATATTTTGTAAGAGCTCTCCACCAGCATATTATGTACAAATGTTCATACATCCCAATGATTTTTTGAGCCACTTTTGCATTTCACCTAAGACATCTCTACTACAGCTTGCTTTTAATGCTGCTAGCGTATCTTCCGGTTATATAAAATGTATAACTTTCAGCTGGTTTTTATTTTAGGGAATAAAAATAACTTACACGGTGTCAAATCAAAAGTGTAAAGAGGTTAACCTCAAATGCTTAACATAAAGGTGTTCCTGCAAAATCTCGTGATTATTTCTTGATCTAATTTTTGTAATGTGCTGAATCTCTTTATGAGAAATTCTCCTATTCTCTTGAATTAAATTTTTCACTGCTTGCACATTTGCTTTCATATCAGCCGTCAAATGGTGACCACTTGTTCCTTCATCTCTCAAAATTAGTTGACCGTGCTGAAATTAGTTATACCAGCGGTACCCAGTTGCCTTAGAAGGCCCTTTATCCATAAATGCCATTTGGAGTCTATCAAACGATTCATTCGGTTTTAGGCGACATTTGGAATTGTTAAAAATCATTCCGCTAAAATGTTCCCGACGCAGATCCATTTTACAATAAAACACGATATTCTAGTCTAGCTCGTAAAAAATTTCGAGAGAAAATTAAACTGGGAGCATTCGGATTTTTACTTGTTAATGTTAAATGAAATATATTTTATTTTCAAAATAAATTACAACTTTTTGTGTAGCCGGTTGCATAGATACAAGTAAGAGAAAGTTTTTTTCCTTCAAATTGTACTACCTATATTCACTTTTTAAATCTATTAAAACTAGTAGATTTAATTTGATTAATAATCGAACATTTACTAAAGTGGCTATGAAAAATCCCCAGTTACTATTAATAATGCCGTAATAAAATAATTTCTGTGGCATGTCTATATTTGCAATTTAAACATAGGTATTAATTCAATGTAATGGGAGCAAACATGTTTGCTAGGGACGACATTATTTTGCGTACTATTAGTATACGACTCGACCTTGCACTTGAGTTATTACAATGACATAATATTATTATTTATTTGGAACTTAGCCGAATGGATAAATATTCAATTCGGTGAATTGTGGTTGTTTTCCTTAAAAATATTAAACCTAGATTTAGATAAATATTTCAACCAATTTTAATTTTGGTGAATTTAATATATAACTAAATTTAAGAATAGTCCATCTTTCCAACCATTACAGCCTATAAAAGTCCACTGGTGAACAAAGGCCTCCCCCATAGATTACGTTATATGTGGGATTTTTTCATAGTTTCCTCGCTTGGCAGGCAGTTTGGCAACTGCAAATTTTATATTATATAATATTATTAAGAGTTATTATCAGGAAGATGCTGCTTCCTATATTTCGTTTTAGTTTTCCTCTGTCGGCTCCTACGACACCCACAGGTAAGTAGTAGTGGATTCTTTTACATCGCTTCTACACGGCGTTTCTTTTAACTGGATATATTATTTACTTATAGCCTTATGCTTGGCAGGAGGATTCTTTGCCATGGTTGCCTTTAATGTAAAATGGTATCATAAAAATGTTTTTGGTATGGTGGTAAAGTAATAACCTTTTTACTGGTAATGAAGTATTCCATCTATATTCATAGGTAGGTAACATTTGCATTACTTTAAAAAAAAAAACTAGTACGCAAAGACACAAAACATTGGTTTTCGGATCTAATGTGTGTTATGATTGCCTTCAAATTTCTCACACTGTATCCCAGGCTGCCTCCAATCTTAATGCATAAAGTTTAAATATGGCATGAGATACTGACACTGAGACAATATGTTATTCTAACCTAGAAAAATAAATTGTAAGTACCCATCTAAAAGAAAGATATTGTGTTCGTTGCTCTGCATATAAAAAGTGACGCCATGCTATTTAAAGGCCATTAAGAAATTGAACGACAGTATTAGCATTTCAACATCTGGCCTACTTTTGTTCAGCGCTCAATCAATTTATTCGTAAATGGATGTTTTACTACGAGTATATATCATATAATAATGTCTCCTTATTCTTTATAAGAAAAACACTTACCTTTTTAAATAGATATTGCACTACTACAATATTTGGATTTTTATACTAGGAGTTTGTGCTATATTTTGTAGGTATTCTAAATACATATTAAATAGCTTATCGACAAATATTTGACCCGGAACAATTATATGTAAGCCATACATTTTTTTCGTGTCGCTCCTCCGCCATTATAGTAGATCTATTAGATCAGAAATCTTCACGAAATACCACTGATTCCTAATCCACCTACGTGATTTACGTGGTTGCGAATATTAAAAGACATCCCAATTTCAGGACAAACGATGTTTGGGTGCTGCCGTTTTATAGATTAAACAATTGGCAAACGAACTTTCAATCCACCACCACCAGTGGATACTATCCATCTCTGCAAGTCAGAATTATAATGCGCCAGTGTATACCCAAACGCATGTGCACTCCATTGTCTTATTCTCATCGTTCAACTAGACGGCAATCCGACATGAACGTCGAAAGATCAGAAGCAGGATCAACGACTTTCGGATTTCCAAGTCACGGGGGTGAAATATTGCCAACCTCCATAGTACTTGGCTGTTACCGAATTTTTTTTAATAAAAATTCATAAACAAGGACGTTATGATCAGCAGTCGCGTTTACGATCGCTGGACCTATAAGGCATTAGCTAATGGTGCGTTGCCTATGGACATTGGCAACTAAAATCACACAGAAGAATCGTACAGTGCTAAGGACGAAGAAAAAGACCACACCACCTCTTTGTACTGGGTCTTTAATATATCCATTAAATCAGAACACAGCAGTGCAAGCACTGATATAATTGATAAAAGGCTGGCACCTACACAGACTGACTTCTAAGTAAGATAGCAAAACTTCAATGTACAAAAATTGTTTGGATCTTATATTTATTCATTCATTTATTACAACCCTTCACAAGTATACTGCTGAACATAGGCATCCCTCAAGGAATGCCACAAAGAACGGATCTGATATAATAAAATTAAACAATATATATTGCACTGTACGAAGCAATATTTTTATTTAAAGCCATAAACAAATATGCATAAAGAACCTAAGATAATTTTGTATTCAAACTTGTCTTGCATTTAAAATATTTGTTATAATAATAATGATAGATAAAGGAAAAAGGGAGCAAAATATGTCAATAAAGAATCATATAAATGCATTAGAAGATATATTTATATATTTCTCAGTATATTTTTGAATATTTTGTTATATTATATGCTTATTTTTATTGACCTTATCCCTACAACATTTTCATCAAAAACTTGCAAGATTTCAGTTTATAATCAGCATGAATTAAGATGATGGACATATCTTTAAAATTTTGCAATTTAATTTTACTTGTATCAGACATCACAGGAACGTACTTCTGAATAAAGACAAATAAAATCCCGCCACTATATACCAAAACTATTTGGTGCTAATTGATATGTCACGAGTCACTCGCACGATTTGAATTTGCCCTCTATTGATTGAGTTGTTTCAAGCACGGTATACAAATAACGCCAGTTAGCGTTACCATAACGTAATAGTTAAATATTTTCAAAGCAAATAATAACCGCTAACCAATGTGAACTTGAAATACGGTTGAATTGCTTTAACTTATTCACTCAACAATTATTTTATTTCAATTAAAATTATTGATCCGAAAGAAAAATGTTTGCGACATAAAATAGCATAACTATATAATACTATTTTCATATTAATCGATCATGATTGTTTGGAGACGAAACATCTGGTATTGCGGTTGCTAATACGCCAGAAAAATATTTACAGTAATAATCAAAATGAGAAGGACTCATCTTCAATAGTTGACTGTTTAAACAAGCATTAAGATGCTATACGCTGGTAGCGGTTAATGCTGCTGAGTTTCGTATGGTGAGTGTGGAGA